GGACTGTGTTTGCTCCTCGCCTGGCCTTATGCTCACGTTTACGGATTACCCCTCTTGTCAAGCCCTCTGGATTACGTTTGCTGTCGTCTGATTCAAGCCCGTTTAGGATTGCTCTTTTGTCTTGCCTGTGCCATACTTGTTTGCTGTTGTTCGACCCTGCCTGTGTTTTTGACTGTTTATTAATAAAAGCTTGCACATGGATCCGCACGCCTCTTGTCAGCTCCTTAACAGTAACATTTGTATGATGTGATATAGTTGAATTCGAGATCAAAGAGATGAGGATGAGATTGCTCTGTATGTCACTTTACAAGTAGGCTCAAAGTAGAAAAAAAACATGTATTAGAATAACTTTATAAGTATTGTGATATTACACGGGGGTGTACTCACTTCTGTACTGTAACAGTAATACAATATTCCATTAAATGATTTTTTTTACAAAGAACCAAATCCAGAATTCAATCTAATCTGTTTTTCTGAGATACCATGAACTAAAGCGTATAAACACACTTGCATGTACGTGTGATTTCATTCTTACCTTCATAACCATCCTGGTCCAGATCTCCAGCACTACTGACAGTCATCCCAAACATAGAGTCGTATGTTCCATTGAGCCGGATCGGTCGTGCCTTTTCCCAGTGGCTGGCTGGGTTCAGGTACACATACACAGCACCTCCAATCTCTGCCTTTCGGTCAAAGAAATTCGGAGCTCCCACTACAAGATCTGTCCAACTGTAGGTGAAATCATCCTGTTAGATATTAAGCACATCAGATTCATGGCTTTACACATGGACATGTGAAGTGTCTTACCCATCACTGTTCAGATCAGCTACGGCCACAGAATAACCGAAGGAGGAGGCCAGTTCCTCACCCCACAGAATGTGATCAGGCATCAGCCGGTAGACATTGTCCTTCCGTAGCAGAACCACGGCTCCTGTGTGTTTGGCTCGAGGAGCTCCAGCAACAAACGTCAGCTCAGACTTACTCATAATACCTCTGGCTGAATCCACAGAGAAACCTGTGATGAGAAGGGACAGATTCACAAATGAAAACAAACAGACGATTTTGTACCTGATTTTATAGATTTCATATGATCTTGCCCATTTGCCAGTGATTATGGTATATGAGTTTATTAGCGTTGTCAGGGTACCACAACATCAGTAGCTAATACCAGTGTAATGGAATTTGCAAAACAAAAACAAACTATTGAAATATCAATATGTCAATGTTTTTTGTCTACAAACCCAGGTAACTGTTCTGAGCGACGTCCTCAAATGAGCTTTTGGACGGTTCCTGTGTTTTGTAGACCAGAGCATCCTCAACGGGATTGGCCATAAATAACAGCCCTGAGATGAGTTTAGATGAGAAAAGGATGATTTAGAGGGAAAAAACATCAACTCATCAAAAGCATATCTCATTACCTTTCCAGTTGTAGGTCCCCGGAGCCCCAAAGAGGATGTAGTTTTTGTCAGGTGTGAAACTAGCTGACAGGCCCTGCTGGCAGAATCCAAACTGCTCATGTCCTTGAGAACGACCTTCACAAAACTTCCACTCTCCTCCATCCAGATCATCTCTCTCGGTCAAATCTTCACTCAGCACATAACAGCGTCCGATCGGGTCACGGGTCTCAAAGGTTTGGTTGACGTGTTGTCTGAGCTCATAGAGGTGAGCGCATGTCTGACATCACAACACAAACAGGATCATGTAGTGCACATGCCACAATGACCTAGTCCCCATTCTCCATAATTGTGCTTTGATTTTAAAATTGAAACTTTAGGATTGAAAGTCCACATTGTAAGAAAGCAGTGATGGATGAGATACTTGAGTTGCATTGAATTCCTTTACTGAAGGAGTACTTAAATATATCTTTGCTTAAATCTATGTTCATTCCCTATCAGGTTGCGTTTTGAATGCGCACAGCACTCATGATGGAGAATGCAATGAGGGTCACTACGTTTGCTGGGCTTCTGGGCTGGACCTGATCTCGAGCGTGCTCAGTGCTGATGATTGTGGGTGTTTCAAGGACACAAAGGATGCATTTGATGCATCCTTTTAAAAATGTTGAAAGAAGAACGTGAAATGAAGGCTGCCTTCCAAGGATCCTCCATGTTGAGGTGGCCTTTGACAGCACTTCATGATGTGGCAGGTGAAGTATGCCGCTTTACAAGGATTCTAAACAAAAACACTTGAACCAGCTCATCAAGGTGTTCAGGATGATTTGAAAAAAAACTAGCATGAGTGCTGGAGCAGGATTGGAACTGAAGTCTGCAGGAAGGTAGCCTTCCTGGAGCAGGGCTGACTGACCTTTCTGAACTTTGTGCATGATGTTATTTACTGTATACATGGCACATCAGATCTGTCTGATCTACCTGTCACAGGTATAAAACATACTTACCACTACTTTTCCACCGATTCCTTGACTTTTGACTGTGACACCCAACCACTGGTTGTCTTTGCTCTCTCGTTCCAGATTCACTTGAGAAAACGAGAAACATTTTTCCTTGAATGGATACAGTTTAGCAGAGCAAACACTTTAGTTCATCACATAAAAATGAAGCTAAAATGGTCTTAATAAGTGTTACCATGTCCATCGATGTCCACTCGTTCACACTTCTCCGGGGTAACCGGACAGCGATACAGTGCACCGGGACGGCTGCTCCACAAAGTTCCTGTGCCGCGGGACTGAGGAGCCCCAACCAATATCCTGCAGAGGAAGACTAACACTTTAAATGTTGTTCCTACGTCACTAACAGTTAGCAGTTTCAAGAAAACAAAATCATAGCTGCATCATTTTTATAATTCATTACATCAGTGGTCTCCAACATGGCGTGGTCTCCTCCATGCGGGCTACCAACACCTGGTCAA